ACAGCCACCAGCCTTTAATTAATTATGGCACTGGGGAAAGTTCCTCACTGTGACAGTTATTCTGTCACTTGAGAAGTCACTGATATTTTTCTTTTAAAATGTACTATGTTGTGACCAGAGCAGTCGTACGGCAGGCAGGGTATTTATTTGCCTTGTATGTGGCTGATCCAGGTTTGATCCCTGGTATCCCGTATGGTCCCCTAGCCCACCAGGAGTGATCTTTGAGTGCAGAGCCATGAGTGAGCCCTGAGCACCACCAGGTCTGGCCAAGATACCTGAGTTTAGGCTGCCCTTTTCAGTCTAGGTAGGGCCTGGGGAAGAGAGCTCAATGGACTTGGAACACAGGCTTTGACAAAGCAGGAGTACCAGGCTTCGTCCCTAGCATGGAAGTATTGATGATTAGGTTTGGTCAATTCAAAGACTAAGAATAGTGTTTAATCCGATCTGCCATTTAACCCAGCTATAGCACTCCTGGGAATATATCCCAGAGAGGCAAAAAGGTATAGTCGAAGTGACATCTGCAATTGTTTGTTCATTGCAGCACTCTTTACAATAGCCAGAATCTGGAAAAAAACCTGAGTGCCCAAGAACAGATGACTGGTTAAAGAAACTTTGGTACATTTACACAATGGAGTACTATGTGGCTGTTAGAAAAGATGAAGTTATGAAATTTACATACAAGTGGTACTACATGGAAAGTATCATGTTAAGCAAAATGAGTCAGAAAGAGTGGGATAGACACAGAAAGATTGCATTCATCTGGGGAACATAAAGCAACAAAAAGGGAGACTAACACCCAGGAATGGCTGAGATTAGTACCAGGAATTTTGCTCCATGAATGGAAGGCCAGCCACATGTTCTAGGTGAAAAGGAAGCTCAGATAGAGAAGAGAGCATCAAATGAAGGGTGTTGTGAGGACCTTCCTAGAGTGGGAGAAGCATGCTAAAAGTAGTCTATAGACCAAACATGATTGCCACTCAATGCCTCTCTTGCAAAACACAGTACCCAAAAGAAGAGAGAGAGAACAAGGGGGAATACCCTGCCACAGAGGCAGGATGGGACGGGGGGGGGGATGCTGGGACCCGTGGTGATGGATGACGGGCACTGGTGGAGGGATGGGCACTTGATCATTGTATAACTGAAACCCAAGCACAAAATTTGTAAGCCTATAACTGTACCTCATGGTGTTTCACTAATAAAAAAAGAAAAAAAAAACAAAAACAAAAACACAACTAAGGGGCTGGAGCTATAGTACAGTGGGTAAAACATTTGCCTTTCACACTGCTGGCACAGGTTCCATCCCTGGCACCCCATGTGGTCCCCAAGGAGTAATCCCTGAGCATTGTTGGGTGTGACCAATAGAAAAGCTCTCCTAAGGAAAAGACACCCAAACAAAAACTTTAGAAAGCCCCATGATGGCGTCAGGGATGTGGCTCCTGGCTGATTATTCTCTAAGCCTGTCTGAAGCCCTAAGTTCAGTTCTTCACACTGACCAACAAAATAGGAGAAACAAAAGCCAGATGGTAATATATGTTGTACCAGAATAGCTGAGGCAGATGAGTCTTTCTGGAAAAAGTCTGTATGCAACTTAACTGTTCTGTAGCACTGTAGCTCTGTCCTCCTTGTTCATCGATTTGTTCAAGCAGGCACCAGTAATGTCTCCATTGTGAGACTTGTTGTTACTGTTTTTGCATATCGAATACGTCACAGGTAGCTTGCCAAGCTTTGTCGTGAGGGTGAGATACTTTCGGTAGCTTGCCGGGCTCTCCGAGAGGGGCGGAGGAATCGAACCCGGGTCGGCCTTGCGCAAGGCAAACGCCCTACCCACTGTGCTATCCACTGGAGGACAGTTAGGGGCTTTGCTAAGGATCTGTTGTTAGTGCCAGTTGGTATCAGATAAGCCTTGTCTAGTCCATTATTGCTGGTTGCTCCAGGTCTCCCCAACTCTTTAATGTTTTGCGAACACACTTCTAGGCGCTGAGACATCTCCTTGGCTTCTCTCTTGTCAGAGTTTCCCAGGGACAGTCTTGGGCAGAGTTGCCATCTGGTACGAGAGCTGGTCTGGATATCCCACCGGCACCGCTGGCTCTGTGTCCGTGGACGTGTTTCTATCTCTGCCTTTATTTCAGCCCGCACTTATCGACAGACCTTTTCTTTCCATAGAAGAAACAGCTGCTTATCTCCTTCCCCTCCTTCCCTGCAAACAGCAGGACAATTATCTCTGACGATGAACAAGTTTAATTTGGCCACCAGGTTCCATATTCCCTTCTTGGTTGCTGGCTGGGTTGATATGTTCACTTGGTGCCAGTTTTGATAAGCTGACTTCTCACACGGGCTGGCTCCCTGGCTGCTGCTTTCTCAGTTCATGCCTGACACACACACAACCTTCTGAACCACGTAGGCTTCCTTTGTCCACAGTGGAAACAAATCAGGGGAGTTAAGTTTTTGTGTTGCAAGAAGCAGAAAGTCTAAGTTATCTGTATGTAGTAGAAACGCGACACTGAGTTGAAATACAGCATTTAAACCACAAGAAAGTCAGCTGGGAGGGAGCAGGATGTGGCCAGAACACTCGTAGAACTGTCTGGCACCTGGGCATTCAGACTTGTTGGGTAAATTATTGAGCATCTCAGTTGATTAAGTATCATAATCTTGCTGGCGACCTTGGATGAAAGGCCTTCAATGACTGTCTCAAGGAGGTTCGAGTAGGAGAAGTGAGCAAGGCCTCAGAGTCAGAGAGGTGGGCTAGCTGCTTGGCTCCCTGCGGGGTGCTACCGCCCCCTGCCCCCCATCTGTCTGGGCTGTAGGTGATTTCAGCGAGAGGAAGGTGGCAGGAGACAGCAGGCAGCAGCTTCCACACGGCTTTTCTAAGAAGGTGCCTTCCCCTCCTCCCAGAATCTATTGCCTTATGACTGCTCCAAGGCAGGGAGGAACTCTTTGCTTGCTCTTGGCATGTGTAAAAGGCAGTAAGTATGACTTGATCCCTGTGACGGCCTAAATCCTCCTTCAAAGTGCTGTTGGCCCAGGAAAAGGAAGTGAGCTAGTCCATCATCATGCAGTATCATCACCTCCATCCTGAAGTTTTGTTTCCTACCCATTTGTAACTGTTAGGTAGTTTGATGTGTCTTGGGGGGGACATACCTGACCCACTCTAGAAGTTTCCCTGGCCCTAAGCATTTGTGTTATCCAGGGCCCCCCTGCCCCTCACACACACACACTTACCTCCACTTTTCACACACCCACATAGCCTCTCCCCTCTACTTTACACACACACACACACACACACACACACCCTTCTACTTCACACACATGCACACACTTCCATACCACTCCCCTCCCCACCTCTACATCTCACACACACACACACCACTCGCCCCCATTTCACAATACAACACCTCCATACCACCACATCACACACATGCACATTCATACCACTCCCCTCCACGTCACACCCCCCCCCATACTATTTCTCTTTGTTTTTGTCCCAGATACACAATTTTTGAATAAAAAAGTAAAATGTGGAAAGTCACAGTAACATTATTGCAAAAATAGATGCTTTTTGTTTGGGAGGCCCATACCTGGCTGTCCTCCATGATGACTTCTGGCTCTGCACTCAGGGATTACTTCTGGCAGGGCTCAGGGGACCATATGGGATGCCTGGTATCCAACCCAGGTTGGCCAAGGCAAGATAATCATCTTACCCATGGAACTGTCTCTCTGGTCACTATACTCTCTCTCTCTCTCTCTCTCTCTCTCTCTCTCTCTCTCTCTCTCTCTTTCTCTTTCTCTCTTTGTATTTGTCCCAGATACAAAAATCCCTAATAAAAAATGTGATTCACATTATTGCAAAAGTTGGATTCTTACAGACTTTAAAATACTCTGCTAAAATAAATAAATAAAATATTCTGCTATTCTTAAAATGTCAACACATATGGAAACACATTTGTGTCCACTTGAACGGAAAACGAACCTCCATTGCCCCTGAATAGCAGTGGAATCTTCCAGTGCCACATTACTGAAGTGCTGGGAATTTGGAAGTTGCTTTTTCTTGTGGTGCACAGGAAGCTGCATCTTCAGGAGGTGGTGGGGTCTTTAGACTACCCATGTTTTTATTCTCCCCACACACACCCCTCTTTTTTTTGGGTGGCAGTCACATGTCTTTTAATGGTTTAATTACCAAATGGATGAATGTGCTGGGTGTAAATGTTAGTGACAGCTTAATGAAAGAGCTGACCTCCTCCTTTTTTCCTCCGTTCAAAAAAGCCTGTGCTTTTTACACCCAAAACATTTCCTCTCCCCATGTGCTGTTTGCAGACTTGCATCCATCTTCATTGGCTGCATTCATATTGAGACAAAACATGCAATTAATCTGGCCCAGTGTGATAGGAAAAGTGGCCATAGCTCTGCTCCCCACCACCCACCCCCGAACAAGCTCCTTTGGGTGGTCTGGGATAGACCTCTGGCACCCCTCCCCCCTGACCAGCCCACTTATTCTCTAGGGCAGCTGCCTCATCTCATTCTTCTGATGATTCAGTTTTTTGTAGGTTTTTTTTGGGTGGGGGGGAGGCGCAGAGGGGTGGGGGGGAACTCTACATCGCATGAAAATAAGGTAGTTATTTCACAGACGTCCTGAATAGTTACGCATTGAGTCTTGTGTTTGTGTGTGTGTGTGTGTGTGTGCGCGCGCACATATTTTACCATTTTGTGTAAATGTTGGTCTTGCATCGAAAACTTAACGATTAAAGCGACCGGGATACTTTTAGGTTTCACAGATTTGAATCCCAGTGTTGAGGGAAGATAACAATTCAGCCTCCTTGATTCTGTAACCAGGGTTGGGTAGCAAATTTGCCCACAGTTATCGTTAACCCCACATCGTATGTATGTAGTAGAGTACCCCCAGTGTGAAACTGTATAAAATGGGGCATGGCTTCTAGAAACCTTGGGATCTTTCTAAATGACCTGTGGACAACAATGTGATTTTTGTTCTGTTTGTTCTGATGCAGCTTCCATGAGGCAGTCTCAGGCTGTACCTGCAGATATGCGCCCGGAGATATGGATTGCACAAGAGTTGCGGCGTATTGGAGACGAGTTTAATGCTTATTACCCACGGAGGGTAATGATGTTTTCTTTACTCCCTTTTCTCCTCACACCCTTCCCCTCCCCACCATGTGTTTGTGAAGGTGACTAGTCATCATTCTCAGTCTCTCTGGATATGACAGGCCTTAACCTGCTTGTGACCTACCATTGTTTCTCCTTTCCCACGTTCCCTTTATTTTAACGATCACGATCAATTGGATGATGGAAGTTAAAGAGAGGGCAGGGTGGTGGTGTTTAGGAGCACACACCTGCAAGCATCAGGCCAACAGGAGTGCTTCTCAGCTTTGAAAGGTTCCCACATACAGAGGAACAGAATCTCCAGTCCTGGACAGGCATTTCTGCGCTTCTATGAGGCAGTAGATATTCTTTAATTCTCATTTTCACTGGGCCCAAGGATGAAAAGCCAACACCAGAGGCGAAGACTTGCCCCTGGTGAGTTGAGATCGAACAGGAGTGTAGAGCGTGCCCGGGCCCCCTCAGTCCCTACTGGACGTTTAGTTCTTGAAGTGGGTCGGGAACCATTCACCCACTGCCTGGTTGAACCGCTTCTTAAATTACTATTGACTGATGTTGTTGAATTAAAGTGGGGTGTGGGGGAAAGCCCCATATCTTCCATGTAGGCACAGTGCGTTTCTGCAATGTTTTGCCCAGAGGTGATTTATGTCACCTTCGAATCTCTCTTTTCTCAAGAGTTGTGGAGGCTTTGAATTCTGGAGAGTTAGGACCAAGTTGAAATCACACAGGCCTTTGGGTGAGGGCCATGCCTGCAGGCCGCACTGTCACCTGAGCCTGTTTCCAGTGTTCAAACAGCCTCATTCAAATCCATGCTAGTTTCTGTGGCCCTCTGAACGGTAGGCCATTCAGTCTTAGTTTGTGGAGGCTGTTAATACGGCATTTCATTTTTCTCTTGTCACTTCTCTCCTATGTTTTATTTTCCCAAACATTATTATAACATCATAAAAGTGCCTTCGGATTATTTTGGCTCATCATCCACTCCCCAACCCTCCCAGGTCAGATCTCTTAGGGGCACCCTTTTAAACATTAACTTTTAGCTACGGGTTGCTAAAAGGGGTATTTCCTCTTGATTAATTCATTCTCCTTTTCCCATCGAGAGCACTTCCTTTCAAGCCTCTTAAGACACAATTTGAGACATTTTCCTATCGGAAGGGTTGGCATGGGGGTGGGGGAAACTTGTGTTTTCGGGACAGAATCCGACTGGAGTTAGGACCTCAGAACACACACAACAGTCCTTTTCATATCTGCCTCTGGGGCTCAGAGGTGTGTGCGGTGTTGGATGGCATATGTATGTTACAGTTCTAACTGGGAAATAAGACATCGACATGGGCTTAAGAAGTCCTTTTTTGTTCACTCTTTGGAGCCACACGTGCTCAGGGCTTACTCCTGGCTCTGTAACAAGAATCACTCCTGTCAGGGCTCAGGTGAACCCTTCTTGGGTGCTGGGGTTAGAACCCAAGTTGGCAACCTGCAAAGCAAGCACCCTAGATGCTGTATTCTCTTCAGCCTTGGGCATGGAAATTACTTAGCATTATTTTGCTTCCTGGCCACAGTGCCTGGTATCCAGCACCTGCCATGGTACCTGTTGACAGGATGTGAATTCCTTCCAGCTGTGAAGGAGTTTCTCAGTATGAAATAGTGTTGTGTGTGTGTGTGTGTGTGTGTGTGTGTGTGTGTGTGTGGTTGACTTAGAAGTTAGCACTAAAATCATTGCCCCCGTTCCAATTTCTCTGCCTCAGTTTCCCTGTGGTAGTTAAGTGTTAAAAGAGAGCTAGGAAGGTCAGAAAAGGAACAGGGCCCCAGAAGATCAACACTTTGGCGTTTTGTGCAGCTGCCTCAGAAGGGAGGCCTGAGCCCATCTGTCCTGATTCTGGGGGTGTATTCAGAATCCAAAGGTAGGAGATGGCTCCTCCCGGGCACAGCAGCCTCATGGGGTGAGTGTTTACAGCAGCAAAAGACCTGCCTGCCAGACCCGCCCTCTGCCTCCAACTCTGGGTTACGTGTTCCCAGCCCCCATCCTGACATGGCAAAGATGGGGTGATTGAGCCCTGGTGCTGTCAGATTCCAGAGCTTTAGGGACTGGAGATGGTTCAGGGGTAAGGCCGAGCTCGATTCAATCCCCAAGGCCAAGCCTGGTTCAATTTCCAGCACCCATATGGTCCCCTAGGTCCTGCCAGACGTGATCCCTGAGCACAGCTGATTGTGGCCCCCCAAATAAACCGAAAAAGTCCAAAACTCTGGAATACTGAGATGAACCTGCGTGGCTGTATCCTGCTGTGTTTTGTTTGTTTGTTTTTGTCTCTTTGGGTCACCTGGCAGTGCTCAAGGGTTACTTCTGGCTCTGCACTCAGGAATCACTCCTGATTTGGTGCTCGGGGAAACATGGGATGCCGAGGATCAAGCCGGGTCAGCTGTAACACCCTACCCGCTCAACTATTGCTTTGGCCTCATACTACTGTGTTGAAGGGTGTTTTGTGGGAATCTTTGGCTCTACTAGCTGCCCAGAGCCTGCCCATTTGGGGCTGATTGGGACACCTGGCTATTGATGAGCACTGAGGGGTGCATGGGCCTGGCACTCAACCCTCCACAGAGACTCGTGGCACATTCCAGGCATGCACAAGTGAAACACAGGCGGTGGTCAACATTGCCTCGTCTGCATTGGAGGGAAGGAGATATTTCCTTTCTGCCCCTGTCTCCCCAATGTTATTTCACATATTTACAAGTTTTTAAGGTGGTGACATCTGTTCTTTTTCCAAGCGAGATCTATGTGTTCCCAGTGCTTTTGGTTATATAAATGCTCATTACTCTCACTGTGTTTTTTTTTGGGGGGGGGGGGGGAACCACACTGGGCAATGCTCAAGGCTTTACTCATGGTGCTGCATTCAGGAGTCACTTGCCGTGAGCTTGGGGAACCATAGGGCTGCCGGGGATTGAACCAAGAGAGGGCAAGGCAAGCACTTGTGCTATTGCTCTGTCCCCTCTTTGCTCTTTCCCCACTTGTGCTATTGCTCTGTCCCCTCTTTGCTGTGTTTTGCAGCACTCTGTAAAACACACCATTCACATTGTCCCCAGTGTGTATCACTGGTGGTTCACATCTGAATGTGGCTGATTAGTGCAGAGAGCAGCGCTGAAGTTGAGATAATGATAACACTGGAGAAGGTGGTTGTTAGAAGCTAGAAGACATGAGCTTTCTAAGTCATCTGTGATCTAGGGTTGGGGGAAGCTGGGAAGGACCATAGGTTGTTAGCCTCGTTTTGCTAAAACAGAGGTTGATATATGTCCTCCCCATTTTCTCAGGTGCACTTGAGAATATCAGGCTCTGAAACCCTGGAGTGGGAGCTTGACCCCACAGAACACGGCCTGTCTCCATAGTTGCCGATTTATAAGATCCCATTGTTATTAGTGGGAATGCCAACTGGTCCAGCCTTTCTGGAAAACAATATGGGAATTCCTTAAGAAACTAGAAATTGAACTACCATATGACCCAACGATACCACTTCTGGGAAAATATCGCGTGGGTGGAAAAAAGCAGAGTAGAAATGATATCTATATGTTCATTGCAACACTGTTCACAATAGCCAGAATCTGGAAATAACCCAAATGCCTGAGAACAGATGACTATGGTTAAAGAAACTTTGGTACATCTACATAATGAAATACTATGCAGCTTTTAGGAAAGATGAAGTCATGAAATTTGCTTATAAGTGGATGGACATGGAGAGTATCATGCTAAGTGAAATGAGTCAGAAAGAGAGGGATAGACATAGAATGACTGCACTCATCTGTGGAATATAAAATAACATAATATGAGATTAATACCCAAGGACAGTAGAGACCAGGGCCAGGAGATTGTACCATGTTTGGAAGCCTGTCTTATGAGCTGGGGGTAGAAGGCAGCTGGGATAGAGAAGGGATCACTAAGTCAGTGGTGGTTGGAGGGATCTCTCAGGATGGGAGATGTGTGCTCAAAGTAGGTAAATGATCAAGCACGATGGCCTCTCTGTATCTGAATTGCAAGCCATAATGCCCGAAAGGAGAGTGAGACTAAGAGGGAAATTGTCTGCCACAGAGGCAGGGGGAGGGTTGGGATGGGAGTGTATACTGGGGACATTGGTGATGGGATGGGTATTCGATCGTTGTATGACGGAAACTCAAATGTGAAAGCTTTGTAACTATCACGGTAGTTCAGTAAATAAATAAAGATCCCATTGTGTGTGGCCTCTTCTGGCCCCACAGCATGGGGAGTTGCTCGCAGACATGACCCTCCTCTCCTTTTAAATACTGAGTGTAAAGTGCTCCCTCCAGTTGTGGGGCTGGCTGAGGGGACAGGCCCACAGTGGAAGAGGCAGGGTGGGCTCACAGTGCTCTCAAAGCTGGGCCAGTCGTACCTGTGCCCACCATGCTGTGGTGTGGAGCGTAGCATTTTCAATTCGCATGGATGCTATTTGCATCATCCGTGTGGGGCCTTGTCCAGAGCCTCACTCAGTCTTGTCTTGCCCCGTGTACAGCCTGGCAGGGTGTTTCCCCGGTTTCCCAGTTAGAGAGATGGAGGAAGTTGTGATGTCAGCATCAGCGCAATGTGTTCAGTCCACTTCAGGGGATGGGGGGAAAGTGCAGGAGACTGAGTGGTGGCACCTACCCCTGAGGGGAGGCGGTGGAGAGGCCCAGCGCGTGCAAGGCCTATGCACTGGCCTTCCCTTTTCTCCTGAGTCCGTGTCCTTATTCCCACTCCTCAGTCCCTGTTCCAGAAAAGAATTCCACAACTCTCAGGGGTTGGCGAGAGACTGCAGTGGTCAGGGGCTTACTTTGCATGCAGCTGACCCAGGTTTGATGCCTCTCAGCCTAAAGGGTCCCCTGAGCACAGCCAGTAGGGCCCAGAAAACAAAGACACACAGCAAAACTTTGGGTTTTGAAATACTTGCAAACTTGCATGAAAGTGGCAAGAATATTCCCGAAACCCAGTAGGGCCCAGAAAACAAACACACACAGCAAAACTTTGGG